ACCCATTGGACGATCAGGCCTGTGTTCTCCAAGGTGCGCAGAGCCAGAAGTGAGTCCAGAGCCTTGGATGGTGGCAGCGGGAACCCCAGGCTAGCGGGTGTGCTCCAGGGAAGGGGTCGGCCGGACGGGAGGCACCCCAGGGAGGCACTCGGAGCCTGCAAGGTGGTTGGGCGCAGTGAGGTGGGCGGCTTAACGCAGGAGCGCCCCCTACTGGCCCGCCACAGGGGTTGGGATACATTTGAAGAGTTGATGTAAAACCCTGTATGTGTGTGCAGCCACTCTTACTGCCATGCAGAGCCTGGCAGAACAGCAAGGTACAGTCCTTGCAGGATGGGCTTCACCTGGCAGGGTGGTGCTCAAAACCTTCATTTTGGATCAAGCAGGGACCCACCCAGGTTTCTTCAGGAGAGTGCCTCAGTGGTGGTGATGTTGGGGTGATCCCTGTAATCTCAGCCTAAGAGCAGCTCCTTATTTGTAACACTATAAATAGCACATGGGTGTGGAGCTGCTGGTTGGCAGGCTGGACTGTAAAGGCTAAGCTTTGGTTGGGGAAATGCCATGCCCAGATTTTTTCCACATGAGTCGCCGTGTGTTTTGGGTGACCGAAAAAGTATTTTGCCTGATAATCCAAACCCAAAACCAAGCTCCTTGTTCAGGGCAATGTATTCATTCCACAGGCCTGAGGGGCTGTCATGTGTCAGGTTGGCACTCAGAAACTGAGCTTCAGGTAAGACAGGACTTTGCCCAGTCCTTTTAGGGAGAGTCCCCTGATAGCAGAGACATGTTCTGTGAGACCCAAAGTGGGTTTTACCCTATAATCCCAGCCCAAAATAAGATCCTTATTTGGTGCAGTGTACCCAGTGTGCAGCTATTGGGGGGCGGGTGGCAGGTGTAAGGCCAGTGCACAGTGATCAACCAAGCCAAGCAGGTACCTACCCAGGCTTCTTCCAAGAGTCCTCAGGGAGTGGAGAGGAGTGTTTGGGGTGATCCAAAAAGGATTTTGCCCTGTAATTCCAGCCCAAAGTCACTCATTATTCTCAGAACAAACACAGCACACAAGTCTGGGGGGGTGTCAGCTAGGAGGCTGGCATGCAAAAACCAAGCTTTGGGTCAGGCAATGTACTGTCCAGACTTCTTCTGGAGAATCCCCTGGTGTTAGGCGCATGGGGCTTAGGATGTTCCAAAAAGGATTTGCAATCATGACCCCAAATCATCTCATTTGGTGCTATGTGATTAGTACACAGCTCAGGGGGCCATCAGGTGAGAGGCTGGCATGTAAAAACCGAGCTCTGGGCCAGGCAGGGGCCTCCCAGAACTCTTCAGTAGAGTCCCCAGGTAGCGGTGAGGTGTGCCAAGGAGGATGTTACCCGACTGTGACAGGGCACCACGTCTGCCCCGTCACAGAACGCCAGGGAAGTGAAGGGAAACAGAAAACTTAGTAAGGAGTCCGAGGAGAGAGAGGGCTGGGGATACCCGGATGGAGGAGAGAAGGGCCCAGATGAAAACATAAAGAAGGGCAGCATGTGTGGGGAGAGCAAGGAGAGTGTTGGCTGCAAGAGAAGCACGAGACAGCCGGGAGGACTTAAAGGGGAACAGAGCCCAGAATTAGCTCTTGAAAAGAGAAGAAAGAACCCAGAAGAAACAGGGAGAGACTACAAGAGCGAGACAACAGATGACAGAGAGAAGGGAACGGAAGAAGGGTCCTGGAGAGAGACTTACCTGGGAAGCTGAAGTGAGGTAACGAGGGAGACCTCCGAGTTGGTGAGTCTGATACCTGAGGACATCAGGTAATGTCCCAAAGACCTGAAAAAGAGAAAGAAACGAGAGCGTATGAAGATTAACAAAGAGAGGAGAACCCTACATTTCGATATCAGTAGAAAATACAAAGTGGCATAGGATTGCCATTTGCTTGGGACCTGTGAGGAGGAGAACAGGGCAAGCAACCAAGAAACTGAGAGCTCCCAACGAGAGAGGGAACTAAATATATCTAAGATGTTAGTTATCCAAGACAGACATAATAACTGTGCAGAAGAGCTATTTTTGCTGAATTGCAGACACAGCACGATATCTTCTTAATCTATCAGGACTGTGTTTATTTCCTTACCTTATTCCATCAAAGTCCTGGCGGGTGAGAAATAAAGGACATTAACCAGTTCATATTAAAACAAGAGATTGTGATTTATTTTTGCAGGCGTAGCTTAACTCTCACACTGACAATCCCAGCCCAAGTTCAGCTCCATATTCGAGGCTAGGTACAGAGCACATAGGCCCGAGGTCTGTCAGTTGTCACTCACAAACCAGGGTAGGGCCAAGCAGGGCTCTGCCCTCACTTCTTTGGGAGTCTCCCGCAGTGTTAGGGACCTAAAAGGGTTTTCCACCAGTAGCCCCAGCCCAAACCCAAGCTGTTATTCAGGCCCAGAGACCTATAAGGTGTCGTCAGCATTGCACTTACAAGCTGAGCATTGTATTGGGCAGGACACTGCCCAGGCTTATTCGGTTGTCACCCTATATGGCAGGGAAGTGTGCTGTGGGGTGACCTTAAAAGATTTCTACCCATAATCCTGGCCCAAACCCAGATCCTTATTGGAGCCTGAGGACCTGCAACTTTTCAGACTGGCATATCAAAACCAAGCTTTGGGCCAGGCAGCACCCCACTCAGACTTGTTCAACCATGCTTGCAGGTGGTACAGACATGTGTGTTAGGGTAACTTTACACTGGGATTATGGAGCAAATTCCCTTTAATCTCAGATCTTTGGTCAAAGCAACATACTGGACGCATGATATTATTTTACATTTTTATTAATAAATTTTTGAGGACATCCTAAAGTCTTTAGCCTGTGCCATTCATTACTAACAACCTCAAATTGGGTAAGGATTAGCCTTGAAAGAAGAACCAGGAACCAGCAATAAGGAAGCAATTTCAGTCTCATCCTCCAACTCCCTCTCCCCCACCCCCCAGGTAAGGCTGTGCACTTCTGCCTCCTATAAACCCTTCTTCCCACCCTTTCCTCGAGAGGCAGCTGAAACAGCAGGCTCTGTTCTTTTCATGAATTTCTATGATTTTTTGGCAAATGCTTTTTCAGTACCTCCCTATTTATAAATTTAAATGTTATAAATATATGTAAACAAAACTGTGGTCCATCTGATCAGCTGAGGCAATCCCCAAATCCTACCCCCCTCCCCATAATCCCATCAGACAGGCCACAACCCAGCAGTTTTAATGTCATACATAAACTATTTGCTGCCAAGAACAAGGGGCTTTGCTCTGGCAAAATTAAGGCATTCTGAAGGGGTGGATCAGTGCAGCATATTGCTAAGTGTTGTTCCTTCTCCTCTTCCATGGGCCCCTCAGGATGCGGTGCAGGCTCCACCAGGCTCTGTTAAGCTGTGGGAATGAGACGGGAGATGTAGCAGCTGGAGGAACTGCAGCGCTGGGCAGGCACCAACTCAGCACTGCTCCAGTCTGAGTTCCCTCCCTGCACTGAGGGGAGGAGATACCGCTCCCCAACACACCTCCTGCTGACAGGTCCCCTGCGCTGTGCCAGCTCTGCTCCTGGCAGTGCCCAGGCTGCAGCCCCTTCCCCAGGGCATGGATGGCAATGGACACCCCTGCTCTGCCCCTCTCCCCGCAAAAGCATGGGGCTGGTGCAGACCCAGCCCTGCAGCTCTCCTGCCACTCAGCTCCTGCAGCAGCCTTGCCTGGGGTGACCGGGGCTCCCAGGGTTAGTAGGAGAGGGGCAGCGTCTCCTTTGGGGGATTCCCGAGGTCAGAGTCCCCCCTACTTACCTGTGAGGTAGGTTTCAGACTTGCGAATACTTCCTGTGGGGGGAGGAAGGACGGGCATTAGTCAGGTTATTCTGTCCCTGTGAGATCCCCCAGCCCTGCACCTTGTACTGGGGCAAAGTAGAGCCAGGTGGATGTGAGCTGCTGCCAGCACAGCCAGGAGGCCCTTCACACTCACCCTTCTCTGGAGTGACCGTGACCAGGCGCCAGCTGGCAGGGACTAGCCAGGTCAGGGGCTGGGAGCTGCACCCCTGGGCTGCCCCTAACCCCTGCTCCACAGCTCTCACAGAGCAGGGTGAGATTCCCAGGAGCCCTGTGGCCCCACACCCAGCCAGAGCTGCCAGCTGCATGGGAGAAAGCGCGAGATCCAACCCCAGCCCAGGAAACAGCACTGCCCCAGCCCATGGGAGATGGGGCAAGGGCATCAGGCCAGGGATCCACATGATGAAATCAGCCTCCAAGGATAAGGGGCAGGAAATCCACTCACACCAAAGGAGACACTAAGCTCCCAGGTGGGCCAGTGTGGGCACCCAGGCACAGGGACACAGAGCCAGCAGGACAACACTCCCTCCTCAGCCTGGCTTCTCAACCTTCAAACCCCAGGTCGGTGACAGACAAAGCAGGATTGCCGTGCCCCCAAGGCAGCTTCCTGGGGCAGGCACATAGGATGCCAACCCCTTTACCCCATCCTCCAGGCCCCAGCAGCCCCTCCCCTGGGTCGGGTCCCTTGCATTAACACTCACCGGGGCTGTCTGAGCCTTTGGGGGCTGAGGGGGAAGGAAGAGGGGTTAGAGCTGAGCACAAGGACCAGTTCCCCCAGCCCCATGCCCCCTCCCGCTGGCAGGAAAGCCCAGATACCACAGTGACGAGTGTTCCTGTGCCCTCCTGGACAGGAGTGAGGCCTGGGACTCTGCCCCATGACCCCAGCACTATCACCCTGCCACAGCAGGGAGGCAGCATGGGGCTGGGTGAAGCCATTGGCTCATGGGGCTGCTCCAGAGGTGGTGCAACCACCTATCCTGGAAATCTTCAAAAGGAGACTAGACGGTCACCTCACTGGGGTCACTTGACCCCGGTTATCTTTCCTGCCTGGTGCAGGGGGGCTGGATCTGATGATCCTGTGAGGTCCCTTCCAACCTCTCACCGTCTAGGAATCTGTACAGAGCTGCAAAGCGCCAGCGACAAGGGGTGACTCACCAGGTGCTGCATTGCATCAGGCTCCCCATCTCCCTGCAGAGAAGGCAGAGGTCAGCGAGTGCAGCTGCTTCCACACCCGAGCACGACTCTGACCTGGGGCCACAGCCCAAGAAGGAGCTAACTGGGATGTGGGGCCAGGACATCCCCACCAGAAGAGAGGGGGATGGGGCTGTGTGGCACAGTTCACATGAAGCCCAAAAGCAGCTCTCAGGGGCCCTCAGCAAGGCAGCCTCCCAGCACTGGTGCTGGGGCCTGGCTGCTGCTGCTGCCGTGGAAGCACATGGACCTGGGAGTCAAGAGCAGCTAGAAAATCCACCGTCCCCCACCAGGTCCCGGACATGGCAGTGATGAGGCCTCACCACTTGCCCCCCCACCCCAAGGGCATGGACTGAAGCTAAGGGCTTTGCCCAGCACTTACTGAGGAAGTAAAGAGCTGCACCTAGCAGAGCGATGACCAGCACCACAGCAATAACGATGCCCTCAATCAGCATCATGCTGGACTCGGGCTCTGACAGAGGGAAAGGGCTTGTGAGCGAGGGGAAACCCCAGACAAGCCCCCACCACTGAAAGGATCATACACTTCATCCACATCAGTGCCCCTTGTCTCCTCCAATCCCCCTGAGCCCTTCCCTCCCCTAAAAGCCCTTTCTTCCACTAGCACCCAAGGTCTTCTGTCTCCTCATGCAAGAAGTCACTCACCCTTCCTGCTCTTGTCCCAGGGCACTCTCAAGTCTGCACTCAGGCTCACGTGCTTCACACTACAGATGTAATCATGGTTGCTGCTGGGGTCAATCTCGATGGTGGCCCGGGTCTGGTAGGTCCCATCTCCACTGGGAATGACCCCCGAGTGGCTCATCTCCTGGGGCTGTGCCTCTCCATTCTTCAGCCAGACGACAGAAATTTTCTTGGGGTAGAAACCGTGGACCCAGCAGGACAGGGTGGTGAGTCCATCCTGGAACAACAGCCTGTTGCTCACCTGTGCCTTGGGGGGCTCTAGGAGGAAGGAAACACCCATTACAGCGACTGCCCCTGCTGGATCCCTGGGCCCAAGATCCCAGCCAGAAAGCTGGGCTGGGCCCCTGCACTGGGCTGTACAAAGCTGGCTCCATCAGCCATTTTAGGCAGGAGTAGACTGCATTGGGGTGGGAGGACAGGGGACAGGAGACCTGGCTGTGCTGGGCTCGGGGCTACAGAAATAGGGTCTGATATAGCTGATCTCTGGTTCTCAGACATACAGCTGGCGGTACACACACCCCATGGGCTGCACCCACATGGGGGGGCTGACCAGGGCAGGGACAGGGGACACCATGTCCCACAACAATGCTAGAGCTTCACTCAGTGGCAGTAATAAGACACAATATTCACCACCCCAGAAACAAGGGGCTAGGGTGGGCATTCTCCAGGGGGAAGGGTTGCCCCAGTCAGTGCCACCCTGGGCAAGGTGACACCTGGACTCACTGCTCTGCAGCGCTGCCGTCCTGTGCTGCAGGCACTTCCGCAGCCACTTGATGCACTCCTCCTCCAGGTAAGCTCTTGTATACTGAAGAAGGCTCTTATCCTCATTCCACTTGCGCTGGGTGATCTGGGCCTGTGTTGGGACTGCTACCCAGGTGCGCGTTCCCAGGTCATAGCTAATGAATTCTCTCCCATCGTAGCCCAACCGCATGTAGCCTCCAGTGCTGCCGTCTTCATGGATCTCACAGCCGTACATGAACTGGAGAGTGTGAGACCCTGAAACACAGATAGATCCAGTCCCTGGGTCAGGGACACAGCCCCAGGGAGCAGGATCCACCAGAGCTGCCAGGCTGGGCAGGAGCAGGGCTCACCTCATGGTGGAGGGGAAGCAGGTGTAGCATTGGGGCATCTTGGGGGCTCTACTCACAGAGAACAAGACTGAGGGGACACAACTGTGGCCCACATGCACCCTGGGAATGCAGGAGCACCAGGATTGGGAAGCAGGGGTGGGAACGGGCACCTGGAAGGGAAAGGGCTGGGACAAGTGTAGGCTGGAAAGCAGAGTGGTGCTTCTCATACAAGCAGCGTGGGGCTGGACAGCTTCCCAGTGGGGCAGCAGGGACAGCGGGCACAGAGCCCAAGCAGTGGATGCTGCAACTGCCCAGAGCAAAGACCAGAGTCTGCGGCCCCAGAGGTGCTCCCCAGGGCTGTGCCCCAATCAGCCCAACCCCTGCCCTGCACCCAGGGAGGTGATGGGGCCTGGTCCCTGCATCCCACACCTCCTACTGCACGGACCTCTGAGTCTCCACGGTCACTGCCCCACCACAGCCCTCACGCGCCCGGGGGGTCCAGTCCTTGTCCCCTGGGATTCTCAACTCCCCCTTTGGCCTCCTCCTGCCTCCCTCCCCCAGTCTCCTCTTGTCCCTTTCTCCACACCCCCCAACATACCCTCCCATCACCTGGTCCCTTCCTGCCCCTCCAAGCCCTGCCTTGCTCTGCTGTCAGTCCAGGCGCCCACACCAGCTCTTCTACGGACCAGCAGCCCCTTCGCTGCCTTTCTGGCCCATCCCGGGACCCCTCCGACTCTACAGCCACCTCCTCCTGCCTCAGACCCAACTCCATGTCCCCTCCCTCCCACCTCCCTGCCTGTTGTGCCACCACCTTTCCTCTGTAGACATTTTGCCCACATTTCCTGCCGCTGCCGGCTCAGCTCCCTCCAAGTGCAGTGGTCGGTATCCCCAGCTGAGAACTGAGCGCTAGAGCGCAGGGCACAAGGGCTCGTGGACTATGGCCTCAGGGAGGCAGGCTGCAGAAGATATTTGGAAGCAGCACCGAGGGGTGGGAGATGGCAGGGACACAAGGAACAGGCAGGGCAAAGGAAAAAGCACCCACCCAAGGCAAAGGAGCTGTATGGACAGTGTGGGCCACGGAGAAGTCTGCAGTGGGCAGAGGTGCGCTCTCCCTCTTAGGGAACACAGAGCCAGGCAGGCTCCCTCCCCTGCATGGGCTGGGGAAGGGCTGGCATGGCATGGGGGGGAGGGGAGGATCTGGCCCCCTTGCCTGGCTTTCCTGGTGCCTGACACCAAGTCAGTCACCGGTGCCCTGGAAGGAGACAACACCAGCCTCCCCCACACATGGGGCCCAGGTCTCTGATGCGACCGCAGGGAGCAGGGTGGGGTCAGGATTACCAGTCAAGAATGACTGGGGGGGATAGAGCCCTGCTCCACCTCCTCCCCCCTGCCGCCCTCCCCCCACACCGCCCTGGCCACTCCAGGTCCTGTCCCCCTCCCC